CTTGTATTATATTCGGTTAGAAAAATCCTTTTAATATTTAATTAAAATAAGCCTATCCCGTTCTCAATTTTGGCCCAACCCACCGAACTCTGAACCGTATAAGTATGGTGTTGGAGTAAACCTAATGTCTTGGGCCTGAAACCCAATTGATCCAAATTAAGCATAAAAGTTTGGGTTGGTGATCTGTAACCCGATCGGGTCGGTCTTTTTTGCCCAGTCTTATTCCGAATTAAGGTATACTTGGGTTAGGCTTTTTTAAAATAAGAATCTTGCAATTTTTGAATTACTGGACATACAGCGGGATGGTGGGCTAATTGGACGGAATACTGTTCATCGCATCTTATATCCCACACTTTTCCCATTAAAGAAATTTATCTCACCTTACCCTTAGGATTCGCTAGGATTAATTTTTTTTTTTTCTATTTTTACCACTCTCCACTACTCGACCTTTTCTCTCTCACTTCCCAAATTTACATGCCAGCTTCTTCCCAGATTTTCATATCAGCTTTGTTGAACCCATCTCCTTGTTGAATAAGTCTTTCATTATCTGTTTTTATTGTCCTATTCTTTAGGAATTTGTTGGGTACGTGCTGTTGAGTTTTTTATTTTTAGCAGTGCATATCTTATTTGTAGTTTAGTGGCTTTAGTGGCTTAGTGGTGCTATTTTATCGTTAATTTCAGTTGCACAGTTATGATTATCTGTATGTGTCTTTTATCTGTTGAATATGAAAATTCAGAAGTATTTTTTCCTCTTCCAAATGGGCTTGAGTTTACTGTCTTTCAATTTCTTTCACTTGCTAAAATTGTTTATGCACAGCAGGTGTTTGATTTAATTCCTCAAAGAACATTCAGCTTAAAGTTTTTTGTTCAACTCTGTTTTCTCTACATTTGGTATCAGAGCTTGGGACATTGAGGGGACCAAACACAGCAGCTAATGGCGTCTGAAACCTTTGTGCAGCCAGCAATTCCTCGTTTTGATGGTCACTATGATCATTGGAGCATGCTAATGGAGAATTTCTTGAGGTCCAAAGAGTATTGGGATGTGGTTGAGTCTGGAGTAGCAGAACCAACTGCTAGGATGTCAGAAGCTCAGAAGGCAGAGTTGGAGGCTTTAAAATTGAAGGATCTCAAAGCCAAAAATTATCTCTTTCAAGCAATTGATCGGACAATCTTGGAGACTATTCTTTGCAAAGATACCTCCAAGCAAATTTGGGATTCAATGAAGAAAAAGTACCAGGGAACCACAAAAACAAAGAGGCAGCAGCTTCAAGCACTTCGTTCTGAGTTTGAAATACTTCGAATGAAAGAGGGTGAGACTGTTACTGACTATTTCTCTAGGACAATGGCAATTGTCAACAAATTGAGGACCCATGGTGATAAGACACAAGATGTTACTGTTGTTGAGAAGATACTGCGTTCAATGACACCAAAATATAATTTGTTGTCTGTGCTATTGAGGAGGTAAATGATCTTGATGAAATGTCACTTGAAGAACTTGAAAGTTCCCTGCTAGTACATGAAAGGAAGCTGAACGACAAGAGCAAAATGAGCAAGCTTTGAAGGCCACAATTGGCACCTCTTCTTCATTTTCAAATAAATCAAACAGAGGAAAAGGAAGAGGTAGAGGAAGAAATCAGCAAACTCAGTTTTTTGAAGGAAGAGGAAGGGGGCGTGGCAGATTTCACATTTCCTACAAACCAAAGTCAACAGACAAATCCAAAGTTGAGTGCTTTCAGTGCCACAAGTATGGGCATTACCAATCTGAATGTCGAGCTAATTTGCCTAACAATGAAGGAGAAAAATCAAATTTTGCACAAATTGAGGAGGAAATATCCTTGTTGATGGTATGTCATGATGGAGAAAGGTCTAATAAGAACCTATGGTATTTAGACACTGGTTGCAGTAATCATATGTGCGGAGACAAGGCAGCTTTCTCCACCTTGGATGAATCTTTCAAAGATAATGTGAAGTTCGGAGACAATTCTAAAGTCTCGGTCAGGGGAAAAGGACAGGTGACCATTCAAATCAGGGGTAAGGCTGCTCAAACAATTTCTAATGTCCTTTATGTTCCAGAATTGAAGACCAATCTGCTAAGTATTGGTCAATTGCAAGAGAAGGGTTATGAGATTATCATCAAGAATGGAGTGTGCCGGATTCAAGATTCCAAACTGGGCTTAATTGCTCAAGTTAAAATGACTGCTAACAGAATGTCATCTCAACTGTGCTAGTCAGTCATGCTTCTCGGCAAAGACAAATGATGTGGCTTGGCTGTGGCATTCTCGCTATGGTCATCTAAACTTTGGTGGGCTCAAGCAACTTCAACAAAAGAACATGGTGACTAGTCTGCCTGTTTTTGAAAGTCCCTCAACTGTTTGTGAAGAATGTGTTGTTAGCAAGCAACACCATGATCAATTTCCAAAGGGGAGATCAACCAGAGCAAGAAGGCTATTGGAGATTGTATACTCTGATATTTGTGGACCAATTAATCCAGTTTCCAATGGAGGTAAACGTTATTTCATTACTTTCATTGATGATTTTAGTAGAAAAACATGGGTGTACTTCTTACAACAAAAGTTTGAAGCTTTAATGGCTTTCAAAAGCTTTAAAGTATTTGTTGAGAAGGAAGCAGGGAGCCAAATTTAGGTGCTGCGTACTAATTGTGGAGGAGAATATAACTCACATGAATTTGCAAATTTTTGTGAGACACATGGAATCAAGAGGCAATTGACAACAGCCTACATAACTCAACAGAATGGTGTTTGTGAGAGGAAGAATCGCACTATTTTAAATATGGTGCGGAGCCTTTTGAAGAAAAGCAGCATTCCCAAGAATTTTTGGCCCGAAATAGTCAACTGGAGCATTCATATTCTGAGTAAAAGTCCAACTTTTGCTGTTCAAAATATGACAGCTGAGGGAGCATGGAGTGGAAGAAAACCAGGTGTGGATCATTTTAAAACTTTGACTGTATTACTTATGCTCACATTCCAGATGAGAAGAGGAAGAAGTTAGATGACAAAGGAGAAAAGTCTATCTTTCTTGGTGTTAGCAATAATTCCAAAGCATACAAGCTGTACAATCCAAACACCAAGAAAATCATCGTCAGTCGAGATGTGATTTTTGATGAAGGAAAATTCTGGGAATGGGATGAAGGCAAAGCTAAATAAAAGATTTCAGTTGGTTTTGATGGTGAAATTGAAGAGGAAAAACAACAGCAACCCATAGAGAATGAGCAACAAACATTAGAGAATCAAAGCATCATTCCAGTAGCTCCAGAAACTCCAGCAACTCTCATTCCAAAAGCTGAATCAGATGATGGACAACGACCTCAACGTGTCAGGAAAAGACCTACATGGATGCTTGATTATGAGGTACCTGGAATTGAACAATCTGATGAGGAAGAACTGACATACTTTGCTCTATTTTCATATTGTGATCCTGTAGCTTTTAGAGATGCCGTTCTTGAGTCCAAATGGAGGAAGGCCATGGATGAAGAAATTGCAACCATTGAAAGAAATAATTCTTGGGAACTAATTGAGCTTCCGAAAGGCAATTAGACCATTGGTGTGAAATGGGTGTACAAGACAAAGTTGAAAGAGAATGGAGAAGTTGACAAGTATAAGGTACGCCTAGTTACTAAAGGCTACAAGCAGGAGTTTGGGGTTGATTATCAAGAAGTCTTTGCTCCGGTTGCGAGGCATGATACAATCAGATTGGTGATCTCCTTAGCAGCACAAAACTCATGGCCTGTTTTTCAACTTGATGTAAAATCAGCTTTCTTGCATGGAGACTTAGATGAGCAGGTATTTATTGAACAACCCCCTGGTTATGTTAAAGTTGGAAATGAGCATAAAGTGTATAAGTGGAAAAGAGCACTTATGGACTAAAACAAGCCCCACGGACTTGGTATAGTCGTATTGAAGCATATTTTTTGAAGGAGGGATTTCAAAAATGCCCTTATGATCATACACTCTTTACAAAAACAGAAGGTGGGAAAATGCTCATTGTTTGCTTGTATGTGGATGACTTGATCTATATGGGAAATGACAAGGCTATGTTTGATAAATTTAAGAAGTTTATGATGGTTGAAGTTGATATGTCTGATCTTGGTTTGATGCATTATTATCTTGGCATAGAAGTTGATCAATCTGCTACTGGTATCTTTATTTCTCAGAAAAAGTATGTTCAAGACATTTTGGACAGGTTTAGAATGAAAGACTGCAATCCTGTCAGCACACCAATTGATGTAGGAATGAAGCTTGTTAAAAATCCTGAAGGGAAGAAAGTCAACAGCACTTTGTACAAGCAAATAGTGGGAAGTTTGATGTATTTAACTGCTACAAGGCCAGATATCATGCATGTTGTGAGCCTTATCAACAGATACATGGAAAGTCCAAAAGAAATGCATCTCTTGGCAGCAAAAAGAATTCTCGGGTACTTGAAAGGTACGGTTGAGTATGGTCTATTTTATAAGAAAGGAGAAAAGTCAAACATGTTTGGCTTTACAGATAGTGATTTTGCAAGGGATGTTGATGATAGAAAAAGCACATCTGGTTATGTTTTTATGATGGGTACAACAGCTGTTTCATGGTCATCAAGAAAGCAACTGATTGTGACTTTATCAACAACTGAAGCTGAATTTGTAGCAGCAACTTCATGTGCTTGCCAGGTAATATGGTTGCTGAGAATTCTTGAAGAATGTCATTCCAAGCAAGAGGAACCTCTTATTATTTTCTGTGACAATAACTCAACAATTAAGTTGTCCAAGAATCCAATTCTTCATGGAAGATGCAAGCATATAGATGTGAGGAATTATTTCTTGAGGGACCTTGTGAAAGAAGGAGTCATTGATCTTGTCTATTGCAGAAGTGAAGACCAGCTTGCTGATATTTTTACCAAACCTCTCAAGTTGTCAGCATTTTAGAAACAAAGGAAGTTGCTTGGTGTTTTTGTGTTAGAGAATTTATTAAATTGAACTTTGATACAAAGTTTAGTTTAACGGAGGGTTTGTTGAATAAGTCTTTCATTATCTATTTTTATTGTTCTATTCTTTAGGAATTTGTTGGGTACGTGCAGTTGAGTTTCTTATTTTTAGCAGTGCATATCTTATTTGTAGTTTAGTGGCTTTAGTGGCTTAGTGGTGCTATTTTATCGTTAATTTCAGTTGCACAATTCTGATTATTTGTATGTGTCTTTTATCTGTTGAATGTGAAAATTGAGAAGTATTTTTTCCTCTTCCAAATTGGCTTGAGTTTACTGTCTTTCAATTTCTTTCACTTGCTAAAATTGTTTATGCACAACAGGTGTTTGATTTAATTCCTCAAAGAACATTCAGCTTAAAGTTTTTTGTTCAACTCTGTTTTCTCTACACCTTCGTCAATGATCATAATAATGTACTCCCCTGTCCTTTTTCTTTTGCCTTTCCCCTTTCTTTTCCCCCCTTCCTTGATTTCTATTTGGTCCAAAGATTCAAGCCACAGTAGTAAGGAACCAATTCCAATTTAGCTGGCATGGTCACCATCGAGTGTTAAATGGTTTTCCAACATTTGTGCTCTCATCAACTATTCACTCTCTTGCAAATTTGAGCCTAACAAATTAGGTTCTTTTGAAGTAAATTGAGATTTGATTTTTCTAAGTTTAACTTAGATGTGATTTTTGTAATGAAATTCGTAAGATTATAAAAAATTTGTTGAAATTTATTAATTATAACAAATTGGTTGCTATTAATTTAGATATATTTACAATCAAAAGTTGATTGATTTGAAATTCAATGATTTTGTTGTTTGGTTTCTTAGAAAAGAGAGAGAGAGAGAGAGAGAATTGATGTTGGTGTTGTGGTTTTGTTGAGGAAAAAAAAAAATTTATACTAATGATCTAGTTGTTTGGTAGATGAGAAAATGAAGGAAAATTATGATAATTTTACTAGGTTGTGGCTGTTTTTTTATTGGGCAGATGTGATTTAATTTGTCAAAAAAATATAATGAAATATTTTTTTGTTGATGATTTAATTTAATTTTAATAAGGATAAATTTATCTAGTCAAATAATTATTTATATCTAATCTCACTCTATCTTAAAAATCAAGCAAACATAAGATTGGATTGAATATATCTAATCCTATTTAATCCAATCCAATCCAATCCAACGTTGTAAATTTTATACAATCTAATCATGTCTTCCAAACGTAGCCCTTAGGAAATTGGAAAAGGAGAAAAAAAAAAAAAAAAAAAAAAAAAGGAAACAGTCTGCTTGCTCTATATCAAATTCTTCTGGAACCATAGTCCACCGTACCCTTAATTTTGGGGATTTTAAAGAAAAATTTCTACAAAAAGAGGGGCTTCTAGTCAACTATTTCTACTATTAATTTAGTAATTTTTTATTGCTAAATTACTTTACATAATATTTTTTTTATCTTGATTACATAATGGGAGGTAACCATCTCTCATCCTTTATCCCATCTCACTCACATATCATATAATTCAAGTTCAGGATCTCTTATTTCCAAAGAAAAAAGATAATCACTTAATTATTTAAATCGTTAATACTTTAAATAATATTGGTTCGAAAAAAACTAAAATAAAATAAAAATAAAAGACAACAACATTATTAAATGAGCCCATCAAAAAAATTTGCAACGAAAAAAAAATTGACACCGTCAAAAATGATAACCAATGGGTTAGATTTGATTGTATTTTAGCTTTTTCAGATTAAAAATTGAACTGATCTAATCTCAAATAATTTTGATTTTAATTGTTAAGTTTAAAAATTAAAAAACTGTCCATAGTAAGTATACCAAAAAAAATTTAGTTTAAAAACCTTTTATATAAATTTTTGGTTTTTAAACTAAATTTTTTAAATGTTTCTAAATTTGTTTTAAGTTTTTTCGTCACTTTTTACTAAATTATTTATTTATTTAATTAATTTATTTTTTTTTTAAGTAAGGTATCATGCGGGTTGAACTCACCTCCAAGGGGAAAGGGGGGAAACCGTACATTTGCAAGATGGCAAGAGCCACTCGGCGCGACGGACCACATTCTTCTACTAAATTATTTATTTACTCGAATAATTTTTAATTTTTTAATAATTGAAATTAATAAAATAAAAATTAATAAATTAAAAATTATATAAATATAGAAATTTTTTTTAACTAAAACCAAAACTAATTTAAATGGTTATTCTCATTGAAATTAATAAAATAACAATTAATAAATTAAAAATTATATAAATATAGAAATTTTTTTTAA